CACTCTTGGTTCAATCATCTGCTGGAACTGAACTCAGGACCAGTGGATCTATAAAATGTATTTTTACCACTCAAGTTAAAAAAAAAGCAGTACGTGGAAACGTTATAAACACGATGGCATGATGGATTTATAAATCTCTCTCTGGGGTACAGCCATTAAAGAAGACAAGACAGCATAAGCTTTTGACACCGGTTCCTCAGCTACTAGCTGGAGTTGCGGCATAGTGGGGCAGCACAGTGTTAATCAGTCACCATGTTCCACCCGAACGGGTGAACACAGCTGAAGGGCAAATTGTTAACATAATATGTTACAGTGCTTCAGAATCCTCTGCTAGGGTGAATATTATATTTTAGTTTTCTCGAGAATTGCCCGCAGAAATGTACAAGGTAGAAAGAAAGCATGCTATAAATGTAAGCCACGTTGCTTGAAAAATGATGTACGGTTGTTTATCCACTGTAATTGTAGAAATTAAAGTAATAACAATTACAATTAAGTGACTCATATGTACTATTGTGCAATTAATTTAGCCTTAGAGGCAATGTTATTGTGTATTAAATAAAAGCCAAATGATGATACATAAGTTGTCTTTGTGATTCAGTTGGTTGCATTGCTCCAGTGGACCCAGAACCAGGCCTCCTGCAGTGCAACATGATTTCCAAGGAACCTCTATGTATGGAAGAGGTTATTCATCCTTTGCTGTGACATAGAATCATGTCTCACACTACCTTTGATGGTTTTTGCAAAGTAAAGTTGTTAATCCAGCTTTCTTGGGCAACTACCAGCCTAAAAGAGCTCTGTTTCATCTATTTCGGCTTCAATCGTATTCATGTACCATTCCTGTTCTTTTGGAGTGTGTTCCTAACCTCGGTTTTAATAGCTTTAACTGATATGGTGGTAGTGTGTTGCGTTCCCTATGTATGTGTCAAATTTTGAGGTCTTTTTTGGGATACATTATTCAGTGTTATTTAGACAAGACTCTTAAGGACTGAATTATGCAAGTATCTCAGCTACCAGTCCAGCATAAGAAATACCACTAATTCAGTGCAACAGGAAACGAGGAAACATCTGCAAGACAGCAGTCATGCAAAGGGTCCCCCTGCATCCGCAGACAGAAATTATGCAGAAGGTCCAAGAGAAGATCTAGTTATCTCAGCTGTATATTGACAGTGAAACATCACAGTGACAATCACTGGAGCTATATCCTTAAGACAAATTGCCTGAGTTCCACATACGCTTGTTGCATTTATGCGAAAGTTTTTCACATGGGGATGCCACAAAGAGGTCTTGCAAATGTTTTGAGCTGTTAGATCGCTAATCCTCAATGTCAACTTTTAAATATTAACTTGCTGACACTGACAGTAAAAATTTGGTCACGTTCATAGCAAAATGTGCATCTGACCCACACAAAACAGAAGAGAAGAAAATACTATGTCTCTTTTAATTGAGATTTCTACATTTCCATTGTCTAACATTTCTAATTTGAATTTATGATTTATCATCTGCGAGTTCCTACTTATTCAGTATCAAGTAGAGAATTTAGAAGTTATGACAGGAAAACTTTTAAGAAAGAAAGTTTTCTTTTCATGAAAATATTTTTAAAATAAGAGAAAAAGATTATGCAAAAAATCAATGAAAAAAAATGGTATTTTTAAGTAGAAGGTTTTATAAAATTCTCCAAGAGGCATCAGTAGGTCTAGAATCCTCATAAATACGTTTTCCGCAATCAGCTAGTCTTTAATTAACACCCAGTAGCTGCCTGACAGAATCTAAATTGAATCTTTAAGACACTTAATTTAGAAAGTGCAGCTGAAATGTATTGGAAGTGGTTCTCCTGGCTTGGCCATCAGTTCCTTCTCTGTGACAGATGCAAAAGCTTTATTTCATAGACAGCTTGTCTGAGTTTGGGGAACCTGAGAAGCTAAAATTCACTTTCAAAGTGGATCTATTCTTTCAATTACAGCCACTTCCCTCAGGAAAAGAAACCAAAGAGAACATCTTGGCTGTGGCTGAAACAAGGGATCAGAAATAAACTAGGTGAAAATGTGTATTTCCTTAGAAGTGCTGTAGGAATAATCACTAAAACTGTGTAGCTCTTGTTATATTACGCATATGAATTATCTTCAGAGTAGTCCTCACTCTCCTTGCTAACTTCTGCTCATATTCACTATGGCATGTGTGTCCTCAACTGCTTTTGTATTAGCTAAGCTTTTTCTTTGATATCTTTAGTAACTGGGGTCCTTTTTCTATTAAAACTTCTATTAAAATTTTAGTATTAGTGTAGAGTCAGTCCTGGTGTGGCAATCACTGCATCTCAGCTTTTTGAGCAAGGGTTAAAGCATGATACTTCTGTTGAAGACGGTGAGTGATTTACTAGCACTTTCAGTGGAAGAAGGAGAAGGGTTCAGTCTGTCTGCAGAGCCTTACCAAATCCCACTAAAAATCCACCTTGCCAAAGATCATGTCTGTTAGAGTGGCCAAAATCAAATGTGAAGGAAAAAATGTAACAATAAGCAGGCATATCTCTCCCCAACATATTCTCCCAGCACCTAGAGATGGCACTTCAAGGATTTCTTGATTCACATGTGGAATCTGTCTTTCATAGGCCATGAAGGATTTTTTTTTTCCATTAATTTGTGCACAAGTACCTGTGTTTGACCCTTTTCAAGTAGCTGTAACTGACCTAGAAAAATTTTGCGTTTCTTCTTGGATTGTTACGGCCTCTTCCCAGTTTTGAGCTGTAAGAGACTTTTCTTACCACGCACAGCCTTCTCCTGAACGTTGTGATTCTGGCTGCTGCAAAAAGCCCTCATTTCAGATGAGCAGTGGGGGAGAAGAGAGTAGCCATTGCAAAGTGATAAACTCTGGAGGAATGCAGCTCCTGTTTTCATGCAGAGGGCCCCTGCAGCATGGTTAGAAAAGGGAAAAGAAATGCCAGCTGATGTGCATGCAGAACGGTCCCTAAATAGAAGACCTTTCAGGCTGCCACAGCTTTTAAATAAAAGGCGTTGCATAAACGTTGGTGAACTGAGGAGACTCTGCCCTCTAGGAGAGCGGGCTTGACTCCCTGCTGCACTGAAGTGGTGTGGCAGGGGTTACCCTTCTCAGAGCAATATGTTTACACCAGCATGGGGACGATACAAGCCAGAACAGAATCAGGGCCAGCCTCTTCCAGCCAGCATTTGTCTCAGCCGTTTTACCCCAATGGAGGAACACATGCTTGGCACTAGAAAAAATCCTGTTCTGGGTGGGCATTTGAAATAGAAAAAATCCTGTTCTGGGTGGACGTTTGAAATTCCGTGTGCTTTTCATGTGGAAACTTTGGCTGTTTTCTTTGGCTGTTTTCCCATCTCATCTTCAATTTCCACCGCACGCAACCTGTGTATTAAAGCGCTTCTGCAGCTTCAAAACAGATGAGCTACCAAGATCACGTAACGTAGAACAACATGGCCTAAGCAGATTTCCAGAACATATTTAACTCTTTGCTAAAGTGCCCAGAGTGGCTTCTAAAGGTGCCTAGGCTTTTATGTGCAGTTCTAACGTAGAAGATAGTCTCCTCACATGAAGCTCTCTGGATGCACTGCCACAGTACCTTCACAGATGTCATCTCAGAAAAGTAGGCATCGCACAAGCTGCAGCTGCTCACTGGTGGCTGAGCTGTTTCCAGGCAGCTGTGCTCAGCCTATTGTTTCAGCTGCAGACAAGGGATGTTTGCAAATGTGCTCAAATTTCCCCAGCCACAGCGGCTATATCTATGCTCGATTTTTTAGCTGATTGTAATGGACACAAGATAACTGACACATTATGAAGGTTGGTGGTCTACAATAAAGAATGATTGTTCCTAGGCTCTAGAGTAGGGTTTTCAGAAACAGTCATTTCTTTTTGTGAAACAGAGGCACTCAAAGCCATTCACAAGATGGCTACGAATAGGAAGGAGCCAGGATCAGATGAAAGATAATTATCTCAGGGAAGCCCATAGCAGCCATATGTGCTTTTTCACCATAGCTTGGCAGCTATGATATAAAACACAGCTAGGATACGATACACATTGCTTCAAGCTCAGAGCATGTTCTCTTGCCACTGGAAGAGAAGTCATCCCTAATCTCTGCGTGCCTGGGCCCAGTTTGCCTGGAGATCTTTCTCATTTACTCAGCAAAGCAGATCTTAACACAGCACATTGAAACTAAACAGTTTGCAAGGAAGCCTTTGTACCTAGGGACAGAAGGAGAAATTATTGGCCCAGCAGCATGCAGACCAAGGATCCTGGGGTGATAAAGGAAGTCTCAGCACTGGGCATTTACTATTACTTCAAGAGCAAAGATTCAAACTCTTTCCGTTCCACTTCAGGATCAGTCTTTCATCACTCGAACAGTTAGGGACAGTAGTAGAAACCATTCACAAAAGAAGACATTTCTGGGCAGAGAAAGAACCTTGGACAATGGCTCATAAAGTGTCCCCGGTAAGATTAGGCATGGCAAGAGTCAGTACACTTACGGTGAGACCTAAAACAGCATGCCCAAGCCCATGAAGGGGTCAGTGAGTTCCTATTTAGCTCAGTGATGAAAGTATTCAGTATCTGACAGGGCTGGGCCCAAAAGCCCTTTTTGAAGGACAGACAGAAAGCTGTGGTCCCAAAGGTACCATGATCGCGCTCGAGCGATGGAAAATGCAACTTCTCGATCATTAATTAATTCAGTTCTGCAAAGCGCTCCAAGGTTCTTAAATGAAAGGTACCAAAAAACCCAAAGCATTATTATTAACAAAATGTTCGGTCTTTTTACAAATGAGTTAGTTTGTAATATTTCCTTAATGAGGAATATTATCTAATGAAACTAACACACTACATCAAACAGACACATACTACTCAGCAGCTAATCCAATAAGAGAGAGTGATAGGAAAATGTCTTTAGGGTTTAACAGGGGAATAACAAACAAACAGGCAATCACATATGTTTCGTTTCAGTTAATAACTGGGATCTGTCTGTGAATAAACATTTCATATCGCACCTTTTTGATGGCTGCCACAACAGTATTTCAAAGAGATAGCTCCTTCTTCACAAGAAAGTGGAGGTTGCTCTTCTGTGAGAAAAGAGAGATGAAAGACAGCTTCACAATGTAGTTCCAACACAGTCCCAGACCTTTTGAACCGCTAGGATTTATGTGTCATTAAATAATTAACTCAATGATGCATGAGGCAAAGTAATGCGACACTCTGTAAAAGACCTAAATTAGTTGCTTTCATTTTAGCAGACACTGAGTCTTCATGATGAGATATAAGTGAGGTGAACTTTATTTCAGAGATTGTCTGATAAACGCAGCCATAAAGAAGATGAAAAATGGCTTGTTCAGATAAGACTTTTGTTTGCTGGAATGTTTTTTGTGTTGCAGTGTCTTTGGTTTAAATTAACTGACATAATCAGATGCCAAAAAAATGCTAAGAGCCTCGCCCTTGTGCTATGAATTCCGGGGACAGTAAGAGGCATTTCAAGGCAGGTCTGAATCAGAGATTTGTAATTAATTTACCTGATGACTTTTACCTTTCAGTATTCACAATCTAGTACATGCAGTTTAGTTTAAATCGTCATCTGCCACATTCTGCCACCTCTCTTGGGATTATCCTATAGTCTAATAGGATATAATTCCTGACAGCGTAAGACTCTGTGCTTTACTTAATCCCACCAGTTTTATTTACACTTTACTGCATCACCCTTAAGGCCCTTCCCACGTCGGTGCACACAGCCTTTCACAGAATTTGTTCACTGAGGCAGAGACTGGAAGGAGGAACTGGAAGGCTCAAGTGTTAGACTCAATCCCAAAACATCCCACTATACTAAATTAAGAACTTGGGCAAGCCGTTGAGTAGAAGGAGGGAACAGTTCGCAATCTAGTCTCTGACCTAACCTCTTACAAGTCCAGGGCCAACTATGAGGTCAGGCACATGCAATGTTCAGCTAAATTTAGAGTAAGGCTCTTTTCACGTTCTTCCAGCCAGTTGCAGATTTGGAGGGATGAATGGGGAGGGAACCTCTGATGATTTTAAAAAAATGCAGCAATGGAACATCCACAGATTTACATCTCAGGTAAAGGTCCTCCGTGAGAAGCGTGCACTTCTAATCCCAGATTTATTAACATGGGTGAAAATGAAGTCACTTAACGGACTCTGTTTCCAGCCATGCAATTTGTGTGCCAGGGACCATGCTATTATCTCAACCTGTGGTGAGGCAACCTGTACTTAACCCTGCAGAGGATTAGGATTATATGATCCAGACGGGGCCATTTTAGCCAGGTTGCTGCTTCATTATTTAAAAGGTAACAAAAAAATTGACTAATCTGGTGCCATCTGCTCAGGACGAGGTGAGAAGTATTCTGCCAGCATCTTATGTTCACCCCTGTCCACACGGGCATCCGTTCCCACTTAATTACATGCTGTTGCATTCACTGCTGTTGCCTTTGAACTGGCACCTGAGGGCTGTAGAGTGGCTGGAGAGAAGTGCTCTTTAGCAGATGGCACAGCCTCAGCCAGCAGGAGACAAGCAGTAGTGAGTGTTGAACGGATGCCCTCTGCCCTGTTTCCAGCAGTTCCCTGCTGAGAAGATCTTTCTTTGCAGGCTGGCTGGGGAATTGGAGCTCTCACCACTGGGAAGCCTGTTCTCCGCTACAACCTTGAAACAAACAGCTTCCCAAATCGTATGAGGAAGCACAGCTTGCCAGATCCCAGGCTGCCCGTACTGTTTCTGCCAGGGATGCTGCAGTGGGAAGAGAGGCTGAAGAAGGCTGATCCTGCAAGATTTTTGCACACAGACAGTTCTTGTGCAGGACAGAGACACCGGGATCAGCCTACTGCTCCATGACTGGAGGCAGCTGCCTTCAAGCCACGGTCAGGAGGAGAAGACGCATCCATCAGATCACAATCAGAATCTCAGAGCTGGATGTCACTGTGTAGCATATAATTCACCTGAGGTGGGAGGTTGCACATGGCAATGTGGCAAAGACAAATGCTCTGCACTTCAGAGCTCAAGATTTTTCAGCTGTCCCCAAACCATGCAAAAGGAGGCAGACCCTGACCTTCTAGGAAGTGTGCACTGCCAAACACGGTTCCTTCTCTCGTCTGGGCCACATTACACCTGCTCTGCTAGTATGCAGCACCGTCAGGTCAGGAATGATAAAGTCATTCTGTGACTACTGGATAGTCATCACTCATTTTCTGTTTGTGCAGTAAACCTAAAATCACTCCACTCATGGCAGCGAAAGAAAAGAGTGCATCTGATAGACCCTTAATTGGGTGAGATTGATAGGCAGTCGAGGTTCTCCCTGCTTTGAGGCTCTGACTCTCCCTGCAGCCAGTGACATAAGCTGTGGTCTTCACGTGGGCTGACTGGAATGAGCTTCATTAATGTTTTCTTTGGTTTAATCCATCATCCCTTCAACAATGCATTTCTGACAGTTAATTAGACTCCACAAAGTGGAATAAGTAGTGTCGTGTTTGGAATTATAATCCATTACTGAGCAGCAGATTGTATGAGGCATATCACCAGCCGGAGCTCTTGGACATCTTAAGTAGTTTTTATTCCAAAAGCTTGGTAAACTGTGTTTAGTAAACAGTTCTGCAGCATATTTGGAAACGGCTTTATTACAAAGAGGAGTCAGGAATCAGGGGCCACCCGTTCATTAGCAGAAACCAAAATAAATAAACAAATACATAAATTCAGACCTTCTGAACAAAGATGAAACCCAGGGGTCATTAACTGCCCTGGATAACACTCAGTACATTAGAGA